CTTAGGAATTGCTTTAGCCCAGCTCTAAGTAACAACCTTAGTCAAAATCAGAGTATCTGTTCTTTAATTTGTCCATCACTTGTGGTAAACATTTGATGGGTAGACCAGGGAGGCAAGCTGTTTCTTCCCTTGCATCAATTGCTGATCCCAGAAATACCTTAAAATTGAAGAGCTTTTCTATCTATTCTAAAGGCAGGTTAAAGGTTGAATTAAGTTTTGTTTAATTGAAGGAGACAGTGTGAAGAAATTCATGAACTGCTTTATCTCAATTCCGAGTACAATTTTTATTCTTCTTTTTCCACCTCTGTTTCCTTTTAGGAGCAGAACTCATCTGAGGTTATCTACACTTCTGAAGGGCTTGTGATTACTGTGTTTGGACTCTTTATTGCTGGGACAATAAGCACAAGCCACTCCTTGCTCTACAGCCTCCTAGTGATGGCTAAATTGCCACACATTCAAGGTACAGAAATTCCCACAAAAAGAGAAAGGCATCAGGGCTCTTACGGCTTCTACTATTAATCCTACAAAAAAGAAAGAAAACAAATTAAGATGCTTAATTTGACTTAATTAACTCAAGCTATCATCCTTGATGTTTTGAACTACACTGCTTAGGCAATGGCAAAATGGTTATACACAAGAATGAGTAATTATAACACTGAAGAAAAATTAATAAAGGTTGTTACAGAATATAATTAATCTTAATCTATGAAACTTCCCAGAATTGATTGAAAGTTGTAGCTTGAAGCACTAGTTCTTTGGAAATGGACCTTGAGGTTTTTGGGGGAATGGGTGCTTTCTTTTCTGCTGCCATAAAATATTAATTAATGTGTATGTTTAATAGCAGTTTATGAAATTAATTTAAGTGCAGTAGTTTTTCTCCTGACTACTATTCACTGCATTTTTGGGTGGAGACTGTATTCTTCAGAAAGCCCATATGGAAATGCTTGATGTTTGCTGACTCTCGGCATATCCAGTAAGGGACAAAGACAGAGATAAACAAGATGAATCACATCTTCTTGGATTAGCAAAACTGAAATGGTCTCCACTGGGAAATGACTTCAGAGGAGGAGTTGGAGGAGGAGGAGGAGTTGGAGGAGAAGGAGGAACCATTGTCCTGTCTAGAAATGTATTCCCTGTATGTGATTTGAAAAACATTTTTCTGTCCAAGTGGTAGCTGACTGCTGGTGTTCAGCATGGGAAAGAAAAAGGCTGTCAATATCTTCTCAATACTTTTTCTCACAGCTAAGGTGCAACAGGAGATCGATGAGGTGGTGGGTGAACATCGCACTCCAAGCATGGAAGACCGGTTGAAGATGCCTTTCACAAATGCTGTTGTCCATGAGGTTCAACGGTATCAGAAAGGGAGCCTTGAGACCTTTCCTCGGGCAACAACTTGTGACACAAAATTCCACGGCTACAACATTCCCAAGGTGTGGTGATATAACTATTCAAGTCAAGATATTCTGGGGCAGAGAAAAAAAGATGACTGTTATGTATCCAGAGATCCTTCATATCCAAGGCACTACTTATTAAATAAATAAGTATTAAACCAAATATCTCTCCCTTCCCTCCATACCCACAGAGTGTTTGCAGAGTTCTTCCCACTGAGCTATTTTATTTGAGGCAAGTGAGAACTGGAGGCTCTTTCTTTCTGCATGAAGTAGTATCAACTAATGCAATCTGTTTCTTCCTCTCCCTCTAGTACGTGGCTGTTGCACCAATCCTCAGCTCTGTACATTTTGATCCTCTCTATTGGGAGACTCCAGAGAAGTTCAACCCAGATCATTTCTTG